GTACGCACCTCCCTGGCCTGTCCCCCCCCCGCTGCCCCCCCACTGTCCCCCCTTTCCCTGGCTGTCCCCTTCCCTGGCTGTACCCACCAGCCTGCCCCCCACCCCCGGCTGTCCCCAGGCAGCCCTAGTGCAGACCACACAGGCCCTACAGTGTACTTGTCACTTCCAGCCCCAAGCCCAGGCCACCAGCACCCAAAGGGCCTCCTCCCTAGGCCTTCTCCCAGTCCCCACTCTCCTCATCACCCTCCCTCCACCTCCTGCCTCCGTGGCAGCACCACTGCCTCTTGAACGTCAGCTCACACGTTGGCACCTGGACCCCTGTGTGCCTCTTGCAGCCACACAAGAGGTGGGTCCTGGGTTCCCCTGTCTTCTCTGGGGTCGAAATGTGATGGTGATCACTGAGCTGACAGACAGGCGGGAAGAGACGTGCTCAGTTACCTTCCCGCCACGGCTGAAGACAATTAAGTTAAGTCCCGGAATCCAGGAGTGTGAGAAAGGCCAGCCTCGTGCTGCAAGAGCTGAATTAGCCTCACGGGGCTGAACCGAGCTGCGGTCCAGCAGCAGCGGGCCACGTGCTCCGCGTCCACATTTGCTACAGTGATCGGCACGGCAGTCACTCGAGCGGGCCTGCGCTTTCCCGCAGGACAGGACAAATAAGACAGCACGGGGTCTGACTTACGCTCCAGGTCCTTGCCACGTCCACGTGATGGTGTCCTGGGGGCAAGAAAGGTGCGGATGAATCTGGATTGGGAACCCCGCATGTGCCGCGTCCCTCCTCCTCCTGCGGGCGAGCCCGCCTCGCCTGGCCCTCCACTCAGCCCACCTCGGACCCCAGGGATGCTGGTCTCCCTCATCACTCACGTCCACTCTGGGGCAGGACAGAAGGCGCATCTCACTGCCCCCGGGTCCCCCCAGACATGCTCACCTCTCTTCCCACAGCTGCAAGGTCACCAGTTCCAGCGTCCACCTAAGACCCAGTCCCGACCCTTTTCCCACTGTCCCCCTCCTTCCGGTATGCATGGCACCTTCAGGCTACGGCACGGGTGCCCGCTTTGTGTGCCTGACTCTCAGACGTGCTCTGCAGGCCTTGCCCTGCCCGTCACCACCCCCCAGCCTCACGACGCTGTTGGCAGCCTCCTTCCAACTCCACACCCACCTGTGCCCCCAAAGGTCCCCCTGCCCAGACTCTCAGTCAGAGACACTGGCAGGTCAGCCCCGGGCTCAGGAGGGGGTGGAAAGAGCACTGCTGGGCCACATCTCCCCCACCACGTGTGTGTCCAGGGCCCCGTGGGGGCATTTCTGCAGCTCTCCATCCTCAGCCTGAGCCCTGCACCAGCCACCCAGGTGAGGACAGGGGTGACACGTGTTCCAATTCTCCCCTGACACTGGTCACGTCACCAGCCTGGGCTTCCTTTTCCTGTGGGCCTGACACCACCTGGACCCCTCCCACGGCCCCTGGCAACCCCCCTGACACAGAGCCTCCCGCGTTCCCTGGCCAGCTCCCCCCGCCCACTGCGCAGGTCTGGGCTCGAACCCCAAGCAGCAGAAAAACACACGACACAGACTGTGAGCACAGGCAGACATCCTGCTTGGGCACAACCGAGCCGAACGCTCCAGAAGACCCAGTGCCGTGCTTCAGATAAGTCAAAACTTAAAGGGGGAATCTAGAATGCCACACACTGACGGCGGAGTCTCCCTCTCAGAAACTGGCTAACGAACACGCCTCTTCAGAGTCACAAGAACAGTCACATCTGCTGGTTCTCACTGGCCCCCGTTTCCTGGCCGCTCTCCTGGGCCTGTCCACACCCACGGGAACAGGATCAGGGCGCAAACCTTGGACCCGACAGGCTTGGCTGGGAAACGGGTGGCCCGAAAGCCCCTTGTGAGCACAGGTGTCACAGGAATCCTGCCACGTCTGCCCCGGCAACTCCAGAGCCCCCGGGCCATGCCCCACGTTTCTCTGGCACCGTCAGAAAGACACAGTGGACAGAGGAGGCTCAGTGTGAACGAATCCACCTTTCATCCTCTGCTGAGTGACAGTCGGCGCACCTGCACCCAGGAGGGCCGGGGCACGAGCCTGGGACCCCTCAGCTCAGAGAGCCCCATGTCCACTGAGGGCCCTGCTGGAGGGGGTCACAGATGCACAGGGGAGGCTCGTCCCGGCCCCCCGGCCCATGAGACCGGCAGGACCTCTGAGTCCCAGCGGCTGCCCCGGGCCTCCGGCCTTCGGGACTTAAAGATTCTCAATTTCAAAACATCCTGGCATGTGAGCTGGGCAGTGAGAGCGGCTGAGGGCACAGGAGTCTCACACCAGCACGTCCGGATCGAGACTAGCCACCACTTCCTGACCCACAGGAGTGGGACATTGTGAGCGAGTGCCAGGGGAGGTTCCGAACACCGGGGTTGACGGAAACGCGGTGCGCTGGGACGCCGCACAGTTCTCATTCCCCGGGAATTTGCACGGACCCTTGTGCCCAGGAAAGCACACTTACCAGTCTGTTTGGGTACCGCAGAACCACGGGCTGCACGGGGACGCCCGGGATGAACGCGCCTGCGGGGCAAGGGACACCGTCTTACTTCTGGGCGGCAGGTCCTCCGCCCACCTTCGCGCGCGGGTCTCAGAACAGAACAGGCCTCTCCGCCAGGCCCTCCCAGTCAGCGGCCGGCGGTGCCCGCGCGCCGTGCCCGCGTGGACACTCAGAAAGCCGGGGCGGTGGCACACAGGCACGGGGGCGCCTCCAGGCCTAGGTGCGCTGGCAGGGTGAGGGGCTCAAGGAGAACAGGAAATAAGAAAACTTCATACCAGGTTTGAAGGTGATCAGGCAGGTCCTGTTGGTACAGGTGCCTTCTGGGAAAATCATTATCTTGAAATGGAATAAAAAGACCAGCGTTAGGGGCGGGTTCAGAGCTCACAGCGCCTCTCTGACCCTCCGACCACACTCGGCTGAACAGGGCAGCGTGCCTGTGGAAGCGCCCACTGATCTCTCTGACGACCGGCTTTACTACCATCGGGAAG